TGGGGCTATGGTCTTCAGGTCGTGTGCAGAGGACTTGCCTGGATGACCCAGGCCCTGAGGGTCCAGCAGTACCACCATGAGGTAGGAGTGGGTGCTCAGGATAGAGACCAGGGCCAGGGCAGGCCCCTCTGGTTCTGGTGGTTGTGTTCTGCTGTGACTTTGCATGTGGAGCGTTCTAGGCTCTCTTGATAAAGGTGTGGGCCGTCACCAGCTCCAGGGCCCTTGACAGGCCTCATGCCCACATCTTCAAAGAGTAACATCTGTCCACAGGAGTGGCAGCAGCTCTCCCAAAATCAGCAGGTATATGAGGGAGCGTCCTGCTAAGGGGCCATGTCTTTGCGGACTGTGGCCGGGTGGATACAGTACTGTGTGTGTTCATGGAGCTGAGGACAACATCTTGCCCTGTCTGTGGGAGGGGAGTTCCCCAGGGCTGCACATGAGCCAGGTCACCCATCCAGGAGAGAACATCTGGGTTTATAAGAAGGTATCTTCAGCCAGAAGTGCCTGCCCTGGGGCAGAGCTGTGGGTTCTGTTTGTCTTCTTTGAGAGGAAGGTCCGGTGGCCCAGACAGCTACAGGCTAACTATGGGACACGCTGGACTCCCTGCAGCCCCTGGCAGTGGTCTTCCCAGGCCAGGGACTGCCAGGGGCATCAGGCTCCAGATCTGGTTCTCGGCGAGGGAGTAAGTGTGGAGACTGCCCCCGTCTTGGAAGGCCTCCAGTGCCCCTGACTGCAGACCCCATCCCCTCTCCCTCACACCCTCCTCTCATGTCCCATGTGAATTTATCTTAGGAAAAGACATAGATAGTATGACTGGGTAGCGTGGTGGGTGTATTTTTCTTTTTATAAGAAACTGTAGGTCCCCCAGTTCCCCGATTTCTGTGTCCTGATGAGAAACAGAGTGTCCCAACTGTTCTGTGATCAGGCCAGCTGCGGGTTTTCCCCACAGGCCTGAGCCAGGCCTTGAACATTCCAGGCACTGATAAAGGTATTTAAGCTGTTGCCCAAAACACTGCAAGAAACTAGCCCTGGCCCAAAGCCAAATTCCTCAAACCCTCATCAAATCTGATACCCAACCCCTCTCCGTGGACAGGCCTGGGTGAAACACTCCCGTCTCTCACTGTCTGTTGTTACCCTTTGGAGTCCCCCCCCCCATAGTGCTCTGGATGGATCACCCTGACACTTAGTGCTGCTGTCTCTGGGATCCATCTGGTCCCATCTCCAGAGGTTTGGGGCACACTCTGATGGGATTTCCCCCTGCTACCACATTTGGGACTACTCCAGCTGTGGGTTTAGTAGGATGTAACAGAAAAAGTGGAATCGTCAAATGATTTCAAGGAGTGCCATGTTGCACTCCCATGAGTGGTGTGTGAGGGTTTCTGGTTCCGTTGCGTCATCAACACTTGGCATCCCCGTGTTTTTATTTATTTATATTTATTTTTATTTTTTTTTTGAGTCGGAGTCTCACTCTACCGCTCAGACTGGAGTGCAGTGGCCGCTCCCAGCCACCGCAGCCTCGACCTGCTGGGCTCCAGCGATCCTTCCGCCTCAGCCTTCCGAGTAGCCGGAATTACAGGCATGCGCTACCACACCCGGCTGATTTTTTGATTTATTGTAGAGATGAGGTCTCGCTGCCCAGGCAGGTCTCGAACCCGTGGGCTCAGGCAATCCACTCACCTCAGCCTCCCAAAGGCACGGGATTACAGGCTGAATTACTGAGCCCGGCCCCCGTGTTGTTATATTTACAATTCGACTGTGTGAAGATTGTCAGATGTTGAGAATTTTTTTATTGTATCGTACCAAGTGTGGACGTGTTCAACAATAGTCAAAGACTTCTAGTCTTTCCTTCCCATATTGTAATTTCACATATGAAACTCAACAGACCGAATGAGAAGACAGACATCTT